ATAATATTGGTTATGTGATCCAAGCTATTGGTTTGTGTTTTGGAGTCAAATGGGTAAAATGGGAAAAGTGATGTTTCAGACTTCTTTCATGAATTAATAATTTTATTTTGCTATGTTTTAAGTCAAAAATAATTAGATAGGATTGTGGGGCTCTTCAATACCTTTTCGTGCATATAAAGAACACCGAAAATGGAGTTGAAACGAAGAAGTTATGGTTGTTTGAAGTTGAAGTGGAAATTGGGAACTTTTGAATTATGCAGGGCGTAACTTACTGATTTTGGACAAGGGTTTAATGAATTACCCATGGCACAATTTATGTTACGAAAGGCATAATCTGTGCAGATCAGAACCCTAAATCTTCGGTTTTGAGCCCTATAAAAGGGCTCTAACTTATGGGAAACCCTCTCATTACCATCCTCCATCACCTAAGATCATTCATTGAGACACCCTGGCCTCCTCTTACTTGTTTTTGAGAATTGGCATCATTTATGAGCATATGTCTCTATTGGAAGGTGGAATCTTGAAGAACAAGGTTATGGCAAAGTGTATAGAGGAAGTGTTCAAGTATGGATCCATCAAGATTACTTCATTCCTGAACCATTGTGGTTAAAAAGCTTCAAACTTGCTCAATGGTTTCATAGATCTTGTCAATTGTCATATTTGTCACTTTTTGGTCCCTTGAGCTTATGTTTTGGGATTTGAGGCAACTTCATCACCTTTTGAGCTATATGGAACACTCTTGGGACTTATTGGACTTGGAAAAGTGTGCTTTGGTGCTTGTTCATTAAGCCATGCAAGTTGTCTTAGCATTTTTGGTCATTTTAGTGCATAAAGTTTAGATCTTGAAAGTTTGTGACCTTGTTATGGATAAAGTTGGAAACTTTATCCATCTAAACATCATATTGATTCAGATCTGAAGGTTGGAGACTTGGACTTAATGGATTAAGTTAAGAAATATGCATTTTTTGTCCCTTTGAGACCTAAAGACTAGATCTTGGTTGTTTGGACCATCCTAATGGATAAAGTTGGAAAATTTATCAATTATGGAGCTAGTAGGAATCAGATATGAGATTTGAGTGAAAGGACTTAATGTATTAAGTGCTTAAAATAAAGTTTAACAAGGGTCGTCGTACGCGGGGCGTAATCTGGGCTACGCCCAACGTAGCCTGATTCTTACCTGTTTTCTGGATAAGACTCTACGACCTGCGTAGAGTAAGGCGTACGCCGCACGTAAGTGAACAAGAGGTTGACCATTGACTTTTTGACCAGTTTGACTTTTGGTCAACTGTGAGGGGTTGAGGACTTAGAAGGGCAAAATGGTCTTTTGCCCAAATGAAGATTTATTTTGGTATTTAAATCGCTAAGTTAGAGAATTTACCTTAATTGCTAGTTAGGGTTTGGTTTTTGGATATGTTTAGTGGGAGAGTCTTTGGCACCAGTGGCTTGTGTGTGAGATCTATTCATTACCGATCAAGGTGAGTCTTTTCACTGTACTCATGGGTCGAAGGCACCAATACCGGTCCATTCATTTGTGATATATCATTGTGTATAAATGATGTTATACTATAGTGATCTGTTAGATTGATAGATCTGTATGATTACTTCTATTATTGGTTATTGATTATCTGTTGCATATGTCGACATAATGTGGTTGGGTTGAGGCGGCAGTGCTTTGTGTTGTACGCCAACAAACTCGAGGCAATCCAGTCGGGAGACTGTGGTCCAAGGGTAATCTAGTTGGGAGACTGTGGACCCGAGGGTAATCCAGTCGGGAGGCTGTGGACCTATAGGCAATCCATTCAGGAGACTATGGGTTAGGGGCAATCCAGTCGGGAGACTGTGGGCCCGATATGCATGTATTGTTTATGTTTTGTTGTGTGGGGTATTTTGGGGAACTCACTAAGCTTCGTGCTTATGGTTTATGTTTAAAATGTATCAGGTACTTCAGGTTTCAAAATGAAGGGTATGAGTTGATCACATTGCATCCCCTGAAGATTTATTACGCACTGAATGATTTAGAATTACGTTGATGTTTTAAGTATACTTTGACTCTGATTGTCTTTTGGAACAATGAATAATGGTTTTAACTTATTTAAATGAAAATTTTTACTCGATATTTTTGAGACGTTACATCATGGCTATCAAATAAGGATCAGTCAGGCAGGAGAATTGGGAGACAGAATCATTTCAACATATAGCTTTTCTAAAATCCAACAACCAAGTCAACATGCCCATTCTAGACACGTCTCATGTAAGTAGACTAATCAGAATAATTAACTGGAATTAATGACTAATATGGTACTTTTAGGTTCCTAATAAAGATTGATGATATAAATATAAGTTACCCTAAAAGCATAGCAAGTGTAGCTTAACTTACATCGATTTCTAACTAAAACGGGGAAAGTCGTAGAAAAAATCTCGATAGCAAACACTTCTATCTATCGAGCTCTCTAATGCCTCAGAAACTCACTAGAATGAAACTTCCCAAAATCCCAAAAGCTTAAGAAACTTAGGACTAGAGAGAGAGAGAGAAAGATGTATGTAAGTTTTTGTGTGAGGAAATAAAAGAGTCTAACCATGTATTTAAGGCAAGATTTGGGCAGGGCACGCCACACATACTTACCACACGCGCTGCGCCTATTGGTAGATGTGGGGGTGACTCTCGGGTGTGACACATGGCGCGAGTTGAGTGGTGTTGCGTCGCCCTAGCCAGGTAAAATTCCGAAGCTTCAAAAATTCATATCTTTCGAATACTAGCTCCGTTTTCGACGTTCTTTATATCCACACGTAGCTATCTCCAAGTACTACAACTTTCATTTAGACTCTGTTGGCTAATTCTCACTCCATATTAAATTTAACAGTCTAAAAAGATTACATTGTTATAAGGAGCTCTGTCATTTTAAAATGGTCATTTATAGTCCTAAGTTTAAAATAAAATAAATAAATAAATAAACTTGTCTAATTGATATTGTAATAACTATAAGCTTCAAAAGATGGAATAAATAAATTATCTTCCACCTAGTATTAAATGTATTAGTTTTGGTAACATATTAGACACATCCAAAGTACGAATTTAAATGGTAAAATTTACACTATAAAAATAATTTTTAAGTTATGTATATTCCTATGTAAGTGTTAGTAAGGGTGTTAATCAAATCGTACAAATTGCCCGCAAACCGCACCATACTACACAATGTTGTTTACAGCTTTTGTGATGCAGTTTATGATTTTCAAAATGTTCAAACTGTATACACGGATTGGTTTGAAGTTTTGGCTCTAAACCGCACCAAACCGCATGTCAACCACCCTTATGACAAACTATTTCTTATGTGTTTATTTGCTCACTTTTTGTCTTGAGAAGTAACAAACCGTTGTTTATCTATAATACATTTTATTGGTTATGTCCTTACATGGCGTTGAAGTGATATTCATGTCTGTAACCACATCTCCAACCCTACATTATATTCTATATTAAATTCAATTTATACTAAAATGATCTAACCTCATACTAAACCTAACACTATATATAATGTAAGTAAATAGTATAACACTAAATATATTGGTATAGTCATCAACACTATTTTTACACTATAAAAAACAGATAAAACAAAATATTCCCAAAATATTCTTTTTAGTATTAAGTATAAAATAATAGGGAATTTAGTAGTTACATTATCTTTTACACTATAATTATAAATTTAATATAAAATATAGTGTTATGGGTTAGGCTAGCTCCAACCATCCACCATATTACATAATTTTTATGTTTTAGATGCCAAAATTCCTCTAACCAACCTTCAAATTTAACATCATTTTTATATTGGCTTGCTTTTAACATTAATATGAAGGTGAAATATGTAGGCTTCTAAAATTTTAAAGGTTGGTTGTAATTGAACCACCGTTTTGGTGTTAAGCAATCACCATTTTAGTGTAATATAGTTAGAGAATATGACATAACATCCAAATTCCAACCACATGGAAGGTTATATTATTTAATAAATGTATAAACTAAAGAGTAAATTACACGAATGGTCCCTATGGTTTGGGGTTATTTGCGTTCTTGGTCCCTAACTTATGTTTTTAACTCGGAAAGTCCCTACTATTTGTTTTTGTTACGCGCTTGGTCCTTACTGTTTGTTTTCGTTACGCGTTTGGTCTCTGTCTTACCTAAAAAGACTATTATTTAAATAGGAAAAAATGGTGGGGTAGGTAAGGTGATGAGGGTGGGGTTAGGGGTATGTTTATTTAAATAAATTAAAAAATCAATGTCAAAATAGTATTTTTAGGTAAGATAGGGACCAAGCGCGTAACAAAAACAAACAGTAGGGACTTTCAAAGTTAAAAAAATAATTTAGGGACCAAACGTTCAAATTACACTAAACCATAGGGACCATTCGTGTAATTTACTCTAAACTAAATATATAAATTACATTAAAAAAAATGAATAAAAAAATAATAAAAACATACGAAATAGGTGATTGCTAAATCATGAAATAATTTCTACCACACTTGACTTCCTAAAATGAAAGGCTACAAATTGATAGCAGCTAAAAGTGAGCTGGTGAGTTACAGTGAAAGCCTCTCAACTATCTTTTCATTTCCAACTCATCATTCATTTTTAAAGTACGAGAGTTTTAGATTATGTTCAATCATCCAATTCCAACTCTCAAGAACTCAAAACAATAATACCAAAGAAATTATATATATTCAAAAATTGAAAACTTAAAAGAGAAAAAAAAAATTAAAAATTGAACAAAAAGGTGAGAATTTTTACCCACAAAGCCAAAACAAAGTTTGGAGACTCCTGTGATCTTAATCATAAAGAATCAAAAACAAGAAACATCAATGGAGCATAGCAATCACTACTCAATTACAATTGCGATTGCAAAACCCCCAATCTTTCCACCTCTTCCTCCATCATCTTTGCCTCCAAATCCAACTATGTACAAGAACTCCATGGCTTTTTCTTTTGTGGCATTTCCTCGAACACTTTGTTTTCATCACCTAATCGTTCTTGTAAGCTTGCACTTGGAAATAAAAATTGAATCTGTGTAATTCAAGCTGCATAGCTTTAAGAGCTCTGCTGATTTCTGTTTTAGCAACGGATCACAGCCACTTTGAATCACTAGGAGAAGTTTTGCTGCAAGACCAACGTCCACAGCGATTGATGAGTACTCTTCAGGTGACAGCTTGCAGATCGACCATAGAATTGATAGAGCAAGTTGCGTACAGCTTTCAGAAACCCTCATCAGAACTCTAACCATGTTGGGAATCGTGTTTGAACAACTGCTTAATGCCAGTTTACCTTCTTTTATCGTCGACACGGAATCCAAGATGAACAGAGCGAGTTCCAATGATTCAGGGTTTAATCCGGGGAGTAATTCTACCAACTGAGGGATGGCACCGATGCTAACGATTAAGAATCTTACTTGTTTATGCGAGGATATGGATTTGAGTAGGCTTAGACCTGGTAGATTCCCGCTTGGGTGTCGTTTATCTCTGACTAATCGCATCAAAGCGACTAAAAGGCTATGGCTAGACACGATTTCGACTTGAAAATCATCTTCTTCCATTAGGGTTTTAATCAATTTGGTGCAATTGATCTTCGTTTCAATGGAGCCTTCGTTTAACATGTCGATGACCAGTGAAATCTTCGCAGGTTGCATTAGATTCAACTTTGAAGATGAATCGAGACTGAGATTGACGAGAATCGATACTACCTCGGAACCAATGGCGTGAGATGTGTAAGGACCTAATAGAGATGAGAGAAGAGTTACGCCTCCTTTTTCGACCACCGTTTTTCTGGTGGTGGCGTGATTGGTTACGACTCGCCGGAGCTCCTTCAGGGATTGAACACGGGCCTGGCCTTTTACCTTTTTGAGCGTATCTAAAATGTCGGATGCGGTTCCTTGAACATCTTCGGATTTCTTCTTCATTTGTAAGTACTTTTGAGAAAACCAGGTATGGATTAACTGGTGAAGCGTCTTGTTTGGGGTAACAGAATCATCCCAAAGCTCTTGCATAGTGGTGGGGCAAGTGAAATGGCCGAGACTGAACCATTTCAAGATGTTGGAGCGTTCATAGGTTTGACCGGTGCAAAGAGTCACCGGGTCTTCCATTGGTTCGAGTGAAATTTGGGCAAATGAACACAGATGGAACATCGGGAAGATCCAATTCTTCAATCATCTTGTTCAGATCCAATTTCTCGGCGAACCCACCCCCCGAATCCGAATCCCACTCCGCCACCGCCTCCGAGAACCCCATCTTTCACGGCGGTGTCTAGATCTAGAACCTGACCATTAACTCCATCTCTCTTGGACTGAAACACAGGCATTTTCAAAAACAGTTGGCGACAAAATCGATAAGGAAGAAAACCTAAATGAATGACCCTGAATGGCAGCAGCAGCAGCACATTACATCAAGAAATTCCGTCTTTCATTGACAATCACTCAAACAAATGTGGGTCTTTTTCTTCTTGTTGTTTTCTCTCTCTCCTCTAATAGAGTCTGATTCACTTTAACTGATTTCTCTCCTTTTTCTTCGGTCAAAAGACTCATCACCATCACAACAAAAATGATAGAGAGAGAAAGAGAGCATAATAATAATGAATAATACCCTCTTCCCTAAAATCAAAGTGTTTCACGTCCTATTCAAGGCTTTAAAAGGTTTGAATCATCAAACCAATAGCAGAACAGTCAATGAATAAACAATTAAACCTCACAAAGATCTATATACTTTTTTAAAGTAGCTTCACAGATAAAAGAATCAAAAAGGGAATTTCCGAATAAATTACGGAAATTAAAGAGACCCAGATTGAAAGAACCTGTGAAGAGATTTGAGGCTTCAAAGATCGACAATTAAGCCGATAAAGAAAAAGGAAATAAAAAAGAGAGAGAGAATGGATTAAAATCTCCTCTATGGAGCTCTGCTTTTGGGGCAATTGTTCAAAGCCCTCTCTCATACAGCAATAATAAATCAATTAACAAAAGTAAAAAATCAGGAATTTTTTATTTTTTTATTTTTTATGATTTTTTCAGTCAAAATTTTTGGGGTTTGGCAAACCGGAAAGGGTGAAGAATAAGGCCGGTAAACAAGCCCTTTAGCCCGCTCCGCACGTGTTAACGCTACCACGTGTCGACTTGATGTTTCCGGTTCATTTGCTTTTCTTTTAATCTTTATGACGTTATAAAACCTATGATATAAAAGGACATAACTAACCCTAAGATCAATCTTCTCACTTTTCTTTTCGTTTAGTTTGGATTTTGATTAACCAATTTATCTATTTTAAATCATTTATATCATTTTATTCAAGATATATGAGAAGAAAATGGCATATAAAACATATTAAATAACAAAATATCGATTGTAACATATTCAATTACTCTTGTTAGTATATGTTTAGAATCTTAAATAGATAAAGAAAATACAATAAAAATAATATATCTTTTTTTTTAATTATTTCACATGTATATCTTAGTGCTCATGAAATTTGAGTTTATTTTCAATCATCTTAAAATAAAATACATGCTTAAAGTTTGGATGAAGACTATTTGTCGACGTTAGATTCATAATTTTTATCTTTGTGTAGATTTAGTTTTTATGTCTTCAATTACTTTTAAATGTCTATTTGTTGTTATAGCTCACATCCGTACGACACAGTTCTATGGTACGATTAGGGTGTAAACGAGCCGAGCCGAGCCCGAGCTTGGCTAGGCTCGGCTCAAGCTCGTTTAAGTTATGAGGGGCTCGAGCTCGAGTTCGGCTTGATTCAAGTTTTATTGTACCGAGCTTGGCTCGAGCTCGTAAAGAATTGTACAGGCTCAGTTCGGGCTCGAGATCGGCTCGTTTTTAGTATGATGAGCCTAAACAAGATTAGACTCGGTTCAAACTCGTTAAGAAGCACATTTATTAATACCTTATATCCCTAATTCCTCAAATATTTTTTTATTTTAATATATAAAAATAATAATACTTTATATTATATATAGGCTAATTTAGGATCGTTTAGGTTCGCGAGCTCACCGATTGAAGCTCGAATCGAGCTCGTTTAATAATCGAACCTCATATTTAGGCTCGATCTTGGCTCGGACTCGTTTAATTCGATCTCAAGTCGAGTTTTTAACGAGTCGATCCCGAGTAGTTCGGCTCACTTACACCCCTAGGTACGATACAATCCTTATGTCTCTATACATGTTGGAGTCTCTATTTTATCCATAAGTGTTCTTTTGGAGAGTAAACAATGGACCTCACATGTACCTTACATGGTAATGTACCTTACATGGTATTAGAGTTTGTGTCACGCACCCTTATGGCTTAACGCATCCTTATATGTCTTCATCGAGTCTTCATCTCTGAAGGGAAGTGTTATTTTATCTCAAATTGATGTGAATTGTCATATAAATCTATATGTTGGAATCATCTCTCTATCCATTAAAACCTGGTTTGAAGTATAAGGGATAGGCTCGACATATATCTTATCAAAATTTAAAAACAATATCTCTATCCTTTAACTTAAAGGTAGTATTGTATACACCTTACATCCCTTTATCCCATGTATTTGTGAATTTGAATTTTATCATTGTTGTTGAGATAAGAAAATATATGAAGAAATCATGACATAATTTGTAACTAGTTAGGCCGTGTCTTAAAGGCAAAAAAATATTTAATATATACTTGTATATTCTAAAGTTTAATACTTACGTTAATTATAATTATCACAGAAAGAAAATCATACTTAACGTGATAAGTTCTAAAAATAAATCAATAAATATAAATGATATAGTTTTAGACACCTTCAATCCTTTGAACTTGAATATAAGAAAAATGTCTCTATTCTCTATTAAGGGTTTAAATAAAACTTCTGAAATAGAATATCACATTAACTTATTATTTAGAAAAAGAATCTTCATATCTTTAGTTAATATGAATTAATCTATTAAGTTGTTTACTTGAAATAGCAATAAAGGGTAAGGTAGTAATTGGAGGTGGCGCACGTGGGAAGCCGGTTCAATAAGCTGGTCAAATCGTCAACAGTAACGCCGCACGAGGACTGGGTTCAGCCAGCCCGCACGAACCAAGGCCGTAAAAAAGTAAGCATATCGGGTAACACCCTTCTCCAGATAACACATCTCAATGTCAAGGTGTTAATAAATATACTTTGATTAAAATTTTCAATATGCCCCCTTAACTTTCATTATTTTAAGACTCAAAGAGGTCGACTTTCATCATATGAAATTCGGTCACCAAACCCAACATTGACTGGTCTATTGTCCGTAATATATAAAGACACTCATAAATTAGAATGTAAAGGGATTAAAAATTAGAGTACATGATATATAAGGCTAGTATGATCATTAATTATCTATTGAACCTTAATACCTCAATAGTTAAAGAAACACACTCATAGATTTAAGAATATCATATAGTTAGGGGCGGACGCAAGAATACATAGTAGGTGTTGTCGAAATGAAATAGGTGTTGCCAATACATAAAAAATCAAAAAAAAATCCACTGCCAACAGAAAAAATAGGTGTTGTTGGTGTCACACTGGGACCCTGCTAAATCCGCCACTGCATATGGCTTGCAATTTATAAATCAACCACCAGTTGAATGACCTAGCAGTCGAGGAGAACAAGGATAAGCTTGATATTGGGAGTGTTAATGTATCAAACATTGGTGCGACACAATTTTATAAGTTGTTATATATGTTAGATTCTCCTTCTATCCATAATGATTCTTTTGGAGAGACAATATTGAGCTCCACATATATTTACATAGTGTCAAAGCTAGAGTCCGCACCCCTGTAGTTGAACTTATCTTTGTCTGGTCTCATCAAGCTTTCATCTTAGAGAGGGAGTGTTAGTTTATCTCACATTGGTGTCACACGGTCTCTTAAGTGTTTATGGGTGTGTTTGGCAAAAGTAGTTGTTAGTTGGAAGCGGGTAGCGGGTAGCTGGTAGCGTGTAGCGAGTAGCTGGTAGCAGAAAGTTGTAGCTTTTATTTGTTATATGAATGTTTGGCAAAAGTAGCTGGAAGCTTTTGAAATATATAAAATTACATAAAAGGACAATTGATTAAAAATAAATAAATATATAAATATATTTTAAGGGTAATTATGAAAATTAATTTCAAAAGCTTAGTAGCGTTTTGTTAAACGCTACATGAAGTAACTTTTAGAATTAGAGCGTTTTGTTTAAATTAAAAGTTAAACGTTCGTACTGCCAAACGAAACTTTTTGTTTAAACTTGAGCGTTTGTCAAAAGCTAAAAGCTAGAAGCTCTCAAATGTTTCAAAAAGCTTCGTGCCAACACGCCCTATATATAATATCCTCCTCTCCACAATGACTCATTTGGAGAGACAAAATTTAGCTACACATATATTTACATGAAGATCATATGTTTGAATCCTGACATGATTTCATTTCATGGATAGGTAGGAGGCCAGACAGCGACTACACATTGCATGGATTGGCGTCTTAGATGAAGGTGAACCCCCTCTTACAGACATTGAAAAATCGTAGACTTGCATGATAACTATACAAAAAATATTTCTCAACGAGAAAATATAAAACATTTAATTATATTGCGAACGCAAAAACTACATGACATACAAACAGTTGAAAATGTTATAAACTAGTTAATGCTTTCACTTAGACACTTTTTTTATTTCTTTACCAAAGTCAATTACATTCGCCTCTACTGCTAATCTCATTATCTTTTGGCCTTTAAAACACCTAACATTTTCAATTCTTATAATATATATTCTAACATTTTCAAGTCTTATAATATATCTTGTATAACTCATTGAAATTTCATACAACTTTAAATTGTACTATCAAATTTTTATTATCTTGAAAAAATTCAAGATTCCATGTAAATATTGTTGTTGCATGCTGAACTTGTTATATTCGTCCTTTTGTAATAAAAAAAGAAAATAAGTACCATGGTAAGCTTTGTCCCTTGTGTACAATGAATAATATAATGCTTTAAAGGGTGCATGTTTTTTCACACAATGCAGAGAATTTTATCTTATTATCCGTTTGTTAGCCTCATGCCTTCAAACATCATTTCCTACGACATACATAAATTATTTTAATATAAAATAGACTTCAAAACTAAATTCAAAATTACATTCAAGAAAGATCTTATTCTTTTTTTCTTGG